ACCTTGTCGAAACGTTGTACATTTGCTTTTATATTAAAGTTTTTCTTCATTACCCATTTAAGCCGTCTCCAGCCATTATTAGTATAATATTTATGTTCGTATTGTGACAACGAGAGCGTTATACTGTGGTAAATATAACTTTAAAACTATCTGGTAATATTTTAAATGTAAATATATAAAATAAATAAACACATTTTTCAAATTCAAATAAACTGACCTTTTTAATTACACATGCTATATAAAATAACACTAGTTAACACAGCATAGGCATCGCTAAGCCCAAGCACACGGTGCCTGTGCCTCGATTCTACTTGAGAGTACCCTGAATCCCCAGTTGGTGTCTTGAAAAATCTGAATAGAAAACCATGATCGATATCATACTGAAACGCCAAAAATTCCTGCGCCTATGGGCCCGAACCCCCAGCGACACCTCTGTAACATAGTAATATTAGTCCTTAAAAGTTCCCATGAGTTGTTCTGGACTAAAACTTTGATACGAATTTCACTACAGTCGTCTGTATAAACATTGTCCCCCGGTGGGACAGCGGTAAGTCTACAGACTAACAACGCTAAGATCCGGGGTTCGATTCTCCCCGTTGGACACAGCAAATAGCTCAATGTGGCTTTGCTCTAAAAACAAACAAACAAGCAAATCATATAAATATTATGTACGAAACCATGATGTTCAGGCTATAACAAACTGTAACTTACATTTCTGAGTTGAAGATATCTCAAATAATGCGAACTTATTCGGTCTTTCTTTCGAATTGTAACAATGTAGCAACAGCTGTATTAATTCTTCTGTCGTAGTTTTGTCTGACACCAAAAGACTTTTGTACATGGACTGAAATGCAAAAGATTAGATAATATTTAGTAGTAAAAACAACAGTTATATCAATGCGGAATCTACCAATATAGACATGTTAAATATAAAGGAATGTTTTAAAACATTACCAAAGCACTTTATGGAAAACACAAGGACTATAATGATTTAATGGGTCACCCATACGTTTACTGACTTCCAACGCTAAAATTCGGGGTTCGATTCCCCATGGTGGACAGAGCACATAGTATGTTATGTAAAAAACACACACACATATATATATATATATAATTATCTGAACTTCAAACCACTTCTTCCAACAAAAATAAAAAAAATTCAAATCAAACATACTTTTCAATGATTCGTCGAGCTTAGAAAATATCTATTAGTTCTGATGTTTTAGCCTCCCAGCGGCACAGCAGTAAGTTTGCGAACTTATAACAGCGCCCCCCAGTGGCACAGCGGAATGTCTGCGGACTTACAATGCTAGAAACCGGGTTTCAATACCCATTGTTTGTACAGCACAGACAGCCCATTGAGTAGCTTTATGCTTAACTACAAACAGATGCTTCAAACTAGAAATTAAGGTGCTGGTGCACTCTTACAAATTTGTGAAAATACCTCTAACAACTAAAAATGTCTCCAACATTTATAACTTGATAATGATACCAGTTCCACATGAATGTAATTCACAACTCTTCATTGAAAACTTTATTTAGTTTTGTCCCCCGTTGATACAGTGGTAAGTTCACAGACTTACAACGCTAAAAATCGGGGTTCGATTCCCCGCGGTGGACACAGCAGATAGTCCAATGTGACTTTGCTCAAATGCAAACAACTTTTAGTTTTAGTCAAAAATCCTATTTTTGTCAAAACAAAACAAGCAAATGCTATACATTTAATTATAAAGTTCATTGTGCGATAAGATATGTCCCCCGGTGGGATTACGGTAAGTCTTCAGGTTTACAATGCTAAATTCTGGGGTTCGATTCGCCTCGGTGGACACAGCAGATAGCTTTGCTATAAGAAAAGACAACACACAATAAGATATATTATTATTGTTACATAAAGAGTAACGTGCTTGAAAAAGCAACATAATATTTTTATGGACAGTTCAACACATCTGTTAGCCCAGCATGGCCAGGTGGTTAGGACACTTGAGTCGTAATATGAGAGTCACGGGTTCAAATCCCCGTCCCACCAAACATGCTTGCTCTTTCAGCCGTGGGGGCGTTATAATGTGACGGTCAATCTCACTATTCGTTGGTAAAAGAGTAGCCCAAGAGTCGGCAGAGGGTGGTGAAGACTAGTTGCCTTCCATCTAGTCTTACACTGCTAAATTAGGGACGGCTATCGCAGATAGCCCTCGTGTAGCTTTCCGCGAAATTCAAACCAAACTCAATATGGATGTACACAAAATTTGTCCAAAAATGAAGAAGTATCGATCAACGACAATTCTATTTTGGAATGAGATTATTAGACAAAACACGTGCAATACTCAAAAAGGTCAATACATTTAAAATTTGTTGTTTTATTGAGGTTAGAAACCAAATTGTAACACCAAGTCCGAAAATAAAAATACAGATACAGTTATCAATTATAAATATACTTACTCCAGTCATTAAACAGCTATCAAATACTTTCACTAAACCACCTCTCCTCATCTGCAGCACGAACTTACACACTGGCGGATTAGACGATAAAAATCTAATGATACCAGTAAAAGAGAGAAGAAAAAATAAGTAAAGAAAACAGTTTTATAATGCGTAATGATCAATTACACAGCAACAGTTGATTTTCAAAAGTTCTTACGTCGTGTGAACGTTTGGTGATGGTAATATCCAAATAGTTTATAACAGTAACTATAATCTATTCTATGTAATATCATTTTACATAATAAATCAACTTAACTGCAAGAGATTTTTCCTTTTAGAAATATATTCGAAATTCAGCTTCTTAAGTAAAATTAACTGTCAGTACGTAACCCCACACTTTTTTCTAATATTCCTAAATGTCCAAGAAACACGCCCCAATCTTAATTTAACCATGAAACTATTAAATGCCAATATATACATATATATATATATACGTATGTATGTGTGTGTGTTCCTTCTAAGTTCATGTTGATAATTTTGATCAATTGTCAATATTTTCTTAAAGCCTAGTACAAGCAAACTAGAAATATTAATACACCATATGTTAATTAATAAAAAGCGCTACAAGTAAGTAGATGCAGAAACCTATAAAATGACCACTTTACGAACCCAAATTTTTCACACGGATGACAAGCTTGAAGTTCACCAGGTCTAGCTTCATCGTCCAGCACCATTACAGTTCTGATGGGTAAGCCTACATACCAATAAAATACAGATTTGAGCAAAATTATTGCCGTTATAGACTATAATGAGATATACTAGTGCCTCGATTATCCGCGATTTTTTTTTCTTTCCCCAGACAAGCGCGTATAATCGAGGCACCAGTGTATAAAGAGTTTTTAAGGTTACAACAATACCTTTTGTGTATCTGTTTGAGATATAGGTAATATGATAAACTAGCTTGTTTTATTTTTTATTATTGGGTTGGGTGTGGCCAAGTAGTTATGGCATAATCGTGCTGTTCATTTTTTGAGCAATGGATGTGTAATACCTTTTTCCATGGTCAAATTCAACTCTTGGATTAGAGTAGCTCAAGAGATGGCGATAGCTTCAGTTGACTAACTGCCTTTCTTGTAGTCTAGAAGTTGAAACTAGGGATGATTATCGCAGATAATATTTATGTAGATTTGCGCGAATATTCGAAACAAACTAACTAACTTTGGAGCAGTAAAATGCTGCGGACGCCGAAGGTAGTAACTTTCTAGAGGTGGTGTGGGAACATGCTACCCATAATTTGTTTTACTAAATAAAGCAAAATGGTACAATCTTGTGCATTTCCTGGATTAATGTGGTGTAGAATTTGATCTGGGTCCAGCCGGTCAACCAATCAGAATGCGTTATGGAAAGCTGCAAGTTTGATCAAAATGTGTTTGAGCGTGAGAATAGGCCCAGATGCACGAGTCTCACTTATTAATGCTTAAGTGATGGTATCTCTGGAAACCGTTTGACAACGTATAAGTAGTAATCACAATTAAATGTCACTCACGTGGAAAATTCATGTTTTTTTATTTGTATAATTTCCATTACTTAAACACATGTATTTAAAAAGAAAGAGAAAGTAAAAATACACAACCAAACAATGTATTTACTAGCTCCTTCCGTGCATTGAATCAGACCACTGTGGTGCAGAACATGGTAAACAAGTAGCGACTGCATTGCTTCAAGAAAATATGCTGAATGCTAGTGTACGAGAAATCAAAGAAATGTTGTAGTAGAATAAGTATGAAGCATCAAATATACACCAACACTAATAATTTTAATGCTTGAGCTTGGAGCACGGGCGCAATTCTCGCCTCCCCCCCCCTAAAGGGTATATTTAATTAATCAACAGTATGTTTTGCTCAAATCAACTGGTCGCAATAGTGTGTTCTTGTAATGCAAAATTTTTTTATTCAGATATCTCATGTAGTATTAGATGCGTTACATAAACAATGTGCATCATGAATCACTGATAGTGGTCCATGATAAGGTTCGCTCAGGAAGTTCATAAAAATTCTAATAGAACATACGGGCAAAAACCATTTTAAAAAGCAGACATGTTCTTGAAACAACACTCAAGACTTTCTATCTCAATAACTAAGGCTGCTAAAATATTGATAAATAGCAAAAAAGTTGATTTTCCGATTGTTAGACAAAATTCAAACCCATCTATTTGTTCTTCATGTTATTATTATTATTCATATTATTCTTGTTTCACAAGCTTACAGAAAAAACAAACAAACGGCTACGGATATTTTATTCAAACTTGGACAAACCTACTAAAAATCTCCTGCGCAGATCATAGGACTATTTTTATGTTCATTCTTGAAAGAGAATGAGATATTTTATCAGTTGTTTTCATTGCTACTGCCCAAGTTTCTCTTCGAAGCCATTCAAGCACCAAAGCCTACAAGAAAAACGGCTAGGTATACTGCGCCAAAATCTATGCACAGCTACTAAACAAACTCCTGCGTGAGTTGTAGAGCTATTTTAAGTTGATTCTTGAAAGTCGAGATTTCCACCCTCTAAAAGTTTCTAAATTCTTCTTCGCCAACAACATAGACTTTTCAAAGCCATTCAAGCATCACAGAAGTGCAGAAGCCATTTAAGCACCATTATACTAGTCGGAAATGTTGGTTTTATACTAGTTGGAAAGCGCTTCGTTTTATTAGAGTAAAGAATATGTATATTTATAACAGTCTCCAGCCTTATTATTACAAGCCGCTACAGAAAAAACGGCTACGAATATTTTAACGAAACCTGGACAATAGTAATGAATGCAGTATTGAATATGTCATAGGATAGCTCTAAAATTAATTCAAGCATCTTCGTTTTTTCGCCCTGAAGAATTTCTCTAAGTTCTTCACTTTCCGCCATTGAAAAAATCCAGTGTTTTACTAATGCACATTAGCTGGAAAATAATTTGTGCGACTTATAGTGCTTTAATTGGAAATTGCCACATTGAGGATTCATTTCTCGAGTTTGTTGTTTTTCATTGTTTCTAGAGTTCGCTGTTGTACTTTGTCTCTAGTAGTTTCCTATGACTATCTCAATGAGTTTTCTAACAGTAGACGATTACCATTGTAGATTTCTCTGTTCTTGTGATTGGTGATTTATTATGTTCATTTTCCTACTTCGCTGAAACTTTGAGTGGGTATTTTAGTATTATTTTTTTATTATTATTTATATTTTTGTTTCACAAGCCTATAGCAAAATCGGCTGGGTACTTTGACCAAAACCTAGACAGATATACTACCTGAAACACTGCAAATGGCCATGACCTATTTAAGAAATTGATTATTTTTCATTGAAAGTTGATATAGGTAGCTATAAATACATACATATGCGATGTTGTTGTGAGAAGCTTCCTTTGTACTTAGCCCTTGTTAAATGCGTGTTTACACGAAACCTCAGGTACAAAACAACCTGGCTCAGTAAATAATGGAAAAAAAAAGACACTGCAAAAGTAAACTGTTGAAAAACATGTAACATTCAACTGAACGCATATGCACATATGTAGCTTAAAATATATTCTCCATAAATGGATAAAAAAAACAACAACAACAAAAAATACTTAAAAAACAAGATTAGTAAAATTTGTTAATTTAAAAAGAGGGATAGGGATCGTCAAAAAATTGCAGAAACAAGTTTAATCAAAATGCAAAGATTATATTTTCAAGCCTACAACTAAGGACTATAAAGGAAGTAAACAAATTTGGCTGGAAATAGTGTCTACATTATGTTTTCAAGCTACAGGTCCCTATGTTGACTCCAGTAAAACTGATAAATAATGTAGACATGAAGTTTGTTTACTTTTTTAGAGTCCTTAGTTATAGGCTTGAAATTATAATCTTTGCACTTTGATCCAACTTGTTTCTGTAATTTTTATGACGATCCTTATTCCCCTTTTTTTAAGTTCAAATTTTTAAATTATCTTGTTGTTTATTTGAAATATATAAAAAAAAAACATGATAACTATTCTGTATATCGTATTTCAAACTACGTGTGAATATTTTCTTTCAGTGACATGAATTACGTGTAAAATAAAAAGGTTTCCAATCTAACATAAACTGATAGTTATGGTGATACAATAAATAATTTATGTAAATTAACATTATCGACAGTTCAACCCTTTTTCTGGTAATATATTCCGAATCTCTTAAAGCCAAAATCTACACTTCGTTACAGCCATAAGAAAACTATATAAAAGGTAAATATAACGCTGATGTTATTTCTACTGATCATTCACGTGCCTAGCTATGGTTAACTGTACTGTTGTTTAAGGATCTAAGGTTATTATTATCATATTCTTTTAACAAAATAGTAAAGGTTATTTTTAACCACCCCCAATTTTACACACTACAACGCCTATAATTTCATATAATTAAAATTTCTCCATGGATGAAAAACAAATTCATGAAATAAATAAATATATTTTTAAATAGCATCTGTGTTTCTTATAAGCTCACTGGACTGTCAGGTAATATTTATTGTATAATACTACAATTAAACAAAAAAAAAAGTACAAATTTCAAGGATGTAGAACTATCTATACGCGTGTGCACTTTTTGATTAGGGTAATTTTCCACCGCATGGGAACCAACGTTGAAGCTCGCGTGCTGGATATGCCGCACTCGTCTGCTTCGGGGAACCCTAGTTAAGTGCTAGCGAACTATACTTGTAGACTTGCTAGGGCAGGGTCATGGTCAGCTAAAGAAAGGGGACAATTTTCATTCTTTGGAGATTATTCGAAATAGTAACTCATAGGAATTCTAACTAGTAACTAGCACTCCGAAAATTTGAGTTATTCTGATGTTACACTGTTGTCTGCAATTTACTATCCATGTGTCAAGCTAATCAGTTTATCAGCAGTCAACAATGCTGCTATTCGGTTTCTTATGGATATTACATTGACAATGAAACTTGCCATAGAAAAAACATGTGCTATGTGTGTGTGGAAGTTGTTATAGCAAAAGCCACTTCGAGCTATCTGCTGTGGCCACCGAAAAGAATCGATTTTAGCGTTGTAAATCCGAAGAGTTAACGCTGTCTTACCGGGGAACAAAAAAAAAAGAAAAGATTTTACAAGAGTCTAACAAACAATAAAAACATCACTGCTTCCATTAAAAAGTTGAGCAATTACTAAACATTAGGAAAATGAATTTAGTGTTTAATCTGAACAATATTTAATTTAGATAGTTGTAACTAAATAAAAAGAAAAGACTAAACGTCGATGGAATATGTTTAGCTGGAAACAAAATATGTATGCATATTAAATATATATGCTTACCTTTTTTCCGTATCCACACCTCCAGTGACAAGCAGTAGAGATTTGGGTCTCGATGTTTCATTCGGAACTTGTTCAACAACATACAGACAATCTCTTTACAGGTTGTCTGAGGTCCAATCGATAGTGTTCTATACTTGAGATCAGTAGATAACGCTCGAACATAGACTTTAACAACTATCTGCAAATATATATATATTGGGAGTCACCAATAATTCAAACTTTGCAATTTCTAGTCTGCTTATTTTGTTTTAACCAACTCGATTTTGTCTTAATTATCAGTAATTTCTTTCCAATCACTGGTATCCTATATGCATTCATGTTAAAACAGTTTAAGGGATTAACTTGTAGATTTCGATTAGGTTTAATGGAAAGATTGAGTGATGTTTGGAGATTTAATGATATGGTTTCGATGGAAACGGTCAAGGAGCCGACGTGACGGTAAAATAAACCATTTTTTATGGTAGCTTAGTTTGTGGTGCTATAATATAATAACTATTTGCTCGGTTCGATCGAGTAATAACATAATATCATCAGCTTTCACGTGAGACTACCGACATAGTTAACAAATAAAATAACGATAATGGCGTTATCTTTAATGTTATTTTTGTAAAGCACAAAAATACACATTGGGCGAACTGTGCTCTGCCCACTGCGAGTATCGAAACTTGATTTTTAGCGTTATAGTTTAGAGACTTACCGCTTCACCACTGAAGGGGGGCTAAAAATAGCGATGTTTCAAATGTGCATTTGTCGTACAGATTAAGTTATTCCTTTTTGTACTACATTATTCCTCTATCCGCTGATCGTATTTCAACGTTACAATTTAAATACCACCAAAGCTTACACGTTCATTTAAAAGTAATATTTTAAAAAGATAACTTTTAAAAATGCCCAAGATATAAATTTTTGAAAGTAACGGTTTGTTTTATTTATAGAACATTGGTGTTGCTACGTGATTTCCGTTATCTCTGATATTGTGTGACTTTTATGGATACCTTTGATAGTCGTTAACAATATGTCTTTGAAACAACTTGTTGGATTAGATATGTTGATGAGGTGTATGTCATCTGACATCATGAAACATTTAAGTCTTTAGAACTTTTAGTTTACATAAATAATTTAAGTCGCCACATTCCATTTGCTATTGAGCTTGAAGTCGATAGAACAGTTTCTTTCCTTGGTGTTTGTATCAAGGTAGTTGATGAAAATCTTGAAACTTATCCACAACCTAAATCGTTGTATCAGTTAAACTTATGATTACAACTTACACACAAATAAAGATTACCAATTTTGATATTTTATTTATAATGTTCAATAAAAATCTAGTATTTCAGCTCCACTGTATTATCGACTCTGACATTGTCTTAAAAAATAGCTTAAGAAAACCTTAGATTAAAAATGAATTAAATGCAAGTGAAGGTGGGGAAAGAAAAATATAGATGTTCTATGCCCTCTAACAGAAAGTACTAGAAAACATGCCTTCTTTATTTTTAAAGTTTCATGCAACAACCGAGCTGCATCTTTTGGATCTTTAAATTCTAAATAATACAAAAAAGAATTCTTGACTTATTGTTTGTTTGTTTCTGAAATTCGCGCAAAGCTACACGAGGGCTATTTGCGCTAGCCGTCCCTAATTTAGCAGTGTAAGACTAGACGGAAGGCAGCTAGTCATCAT